GCAAAAATCAAACAGCCCTAATCCTGGACCAGATTTTTGAAAGGTGCTCGAGCTCCATCATCCAAAGAACACTTGAAAAGCCAAGTAGAGGCCAACTCCAGACCCTGCCACTGATGAATCTAGAAATTCCCAGCAAAAAAGTTAAGCTGAAAAAAAACAATGACTCCAAGGGATCCACTAAACACTTCGCAGGCAGCAATTGCTGGTGGTATTTTATTTATCCTGCTGTCCTGTGTGATGGAAATGGGAAGATAACCTGAAATAAGGGAAGGGGCAAGTCTGAGCTGCCTGAGGTTTGTTGTCAGCACAGACAGACAAGAGATCAGCTCCTTGGATCACTTACAGACGCTACAAAAGAAGCCTGACTTCGGTTTAAATGATTTTTTTTCCTGAGAACAATTCATTCCAGGGATATTTCCCTGGAAATACAGGAGAAAAAGAAGCAGGTGACTGATGTCCATGTACTTTTTTGGGCCTGGAATTGCTAAATTGCCACTGAAACCAAAATAATTCTGTTCCCTTCCTCAGTGGCATATGATGAGAAACTTGAAGGAAGAATCTATACATCCAACAGGAGATTCAATACCTTTTTTTTTTTAAAGCTAGAGAAGAATCTGTGAGGAAAGGAGAAAAACCTCCGCATTCTTTGAGGTGAAATCCAAGTCCCAATTAAGATAGCAGTGAAACTTTCAAGAAGTCTAGAGATTTGCCCCTTCTGCTTTCTTTTATTCCTCCAATTTTAAGTAGCAAAGCATAAAAATGGTTAAAAAAAACCCAAACTTGAAGTATTTCTGTAAGACAACACCCCACCCCCCCAAAAAAAGGACAAATCCTCAAACCCACACTCCTTTAAAATAATATTTACACCAAAACATCAAGAAAATGTAAAGCGACAGTTAAAAATCTCTGGGTCAATAATGTGGAGAAAGTATGGTGACATTTTTTTTCCATTTTGGAAATTATTCGGGATGAGCATTTTTACTAATATATATTCTGAAATAAGAGTAATTTGCTAGAAGACCACAGGAGGAACTTAAAAGGTGTTATTCCCAAGCACAGGTATCCAAACCACCCTCCAAGTCAAATCTCACAGGTTTTGCCCCTGTAGCAGCATTTTGCTTTCACATAAAGGAGTGGCAGAAGGGACAGGGGAACAATCAGAAAGAGTAAGTTGCACGTTTTTCAGCACTTATCTGACCTTTGCAAACACATGAGGTCTTAAAACACCTCAGTTAGGTCTCCCACTAGGAGGGCTTTGAAGGATCTGCTGGAGGTCAGAAGTCAGGAAGGCTTCAGCTCCGGGAAGCACCAGAAGCACGTCCTGCCCTGGGGCTTGCAGCAGTGCCCTGCCTGACACCAGCCTCCCTGAGCAGCAGGGAGCCCAGCCAGAGCGCTGGAGAGAAGAACTGGGATGAGAGAAGGTGCAGGAAGCAAAGACAACAAAGCTGTGTGTGTTGGAACCAAGTGCCACGAATCTCCCTTCAATCAATCTCATATCGGTGCAACATGAACTCTCACTTTAGGGGTTTCAAGCTGCTCCTCTAAGTTCTTATTCCTTCCCAAAAATAATCTTCACAGAGCAGAGATGCTCCAGGTTTTCCAGGTAAACAGAGCTCGCTGAAGAACCTCTTTTCCCACGTGTGTTCTGTGCAAAACTCGGGTTAGCTCTCACTATACAGGTCAGGGTATGTAGGGCAAGCAGCTTGTGAGCCAGATCCCCGACACCAGAGGTGCTACTACACGATCCACCTGCAGCAATTCGGGTTTTTTTCCAGCACCAAACCCGTCCCCCAAGGTTTATCTGAGAGATTTGCTTGGGTTAAACTCCTGTACTGCACGCTGATACACGTGTTTGGGGCATCAGTGTCCGAAGGCTCCCTGTTTCCCACCAGCACTGGCATCCTTGGCTTTGTCCTGTATTGCCTTTTGCTATGGAGGGAAAAGGAAATAGAGGCTTTCAAAGCCAGTAATAGGAGAGGGCACACTAATTGAAAATCACCCTCTTGGGCTGGGGTATCAGGCAGAGAAACTACAGGGGCTGACCTGGTGACCTTCCCATCAACGCCAGCCAGGACAGGGATCTTGTCATCCTATTTTCCTTGGAAAAATAAAGCTCTGTGAAATCCCTGTGTCACTGTGTGATAGAAGAACAGCACAGGTGCGTGGTGTTTGCATTTTTCACAACATCAGCGTTTCAAAGGGGACAGAACCCTCAGTGAGGGTTTCCACTGCACCACAGCCAGAGGAGGAACCCACTGGACACTTCCCAGTTTGTGCTTCACAGCCAGAGAAGATGGAGATGCTCCAGCTAATGTTTATTGGGACAGAGCCACAGCTGAGGGTTCACCTCTGCAGTGCCCAGCTAAGCAGATCATCAACACACCAGGGGAGGTTTCTCTGCAGATGCTCTTTATTTGCAGAGCAGGAACTGCAGCAGGGTCAGGCCTTTCTGGCATGACAGGCTGTCCCAGGTTTTGGCTGTGGAAAGAGTGCTGTTCCCCAACAAGGAAGCTTAGGGAGGCTGCAAATATCCTTGTTCTGGACATCCCTCAGGAGTCCTGCATCCGATATTTCCAAAGAGGGATATTTGTTCTCTCTCTCTCTCTCCACCCCCTGGAACTTGTGTCAAATCATTAACCTTCCCCCCACCTCTCCCAAAAGGAAAAACCATCTCTGCCAGACCCCTCCAGCACTGCAAGTCTGAAAACTGTGTTATCCACAGCTCACAGCTTTGCTTTGACAGATTTAGTAGTCAGTAATGATGTCAGTGAAGTCCCTCTTCAAACTCTGGTGTCCCACTCACACTCTTGCAATGGAACCTGTCAAGGTATGAGCATTTCAGCTGCTGTTTCCACAACGTGTACTTTAAATATTAAAGCAGTAGATCAAGGTCCTGTTAATGTGCAAGTTCCAACTCATTTCTCCCACCTCTCTCTTACAACCAGGAGGGATTCTCTGCCCTTTTTGTGTTTAAAAAGGAGACTGCTTTGCTCTTGAGTGATTACATTAGCAATTAAAGTTAAAAAGAGAGGAGAGGAATTAAGGGATGGGTGCAAGAGAGAACCAAGACTTTATGAAGGGTTTTGCCACAGGCATGAGGAATTTAGGCTTTTCAGAAAATTCACCAGCTGTGTAAAAGCACTGACACAAATAGAGGATGCATTCACTTCAACAAGACAAAACAAAAAAGCAGATAATCCAAAATGCTTCACACTCACCAACACTGTAACAACAGCAGAAAACTCAGCAGCCACCAGGTAACAAACCCAGGACTTCACTGCCCTCAAAAGCACCATAGCAGCCTTTTCTGTCATTACCCTCACACCTCTCCAGCTCAGAGCACTGCAAAGCACAGCATTCTGTGTTTAGAATACACTGGAATTAAGGCTTTGAGATTAATTTCTCAGTCATTTCAGAACACCTTAGCTCAGTGCCAGCAGCCACTGTTCAGTCCCCTTGTTTTTCTGCAGACAGAGGGAGAACAAAAGCTCCTGCAGCTGCTGAGCATCAGGTCCCTTCTCTTCTGGGAGAACTTCCACAGTGACAACGAAGACCAGCTCAGCCAGGAGTAACTCCATCACTCCATCCAGTACCATCACCAGCTTATTGAGCTACACTTTTAATTTTTACTTCAGTACTTCTCCACAAGCAAACTCCAGTTTTCTACCTCTAAAAATGACCAAACAGTCTTTCTTTCTACCTCCAAAAATGACAAAATGGCAAAAATGTCCCTCCCTGGCCGTCACTGCTGCCATCACATCTCTTCTGGTAGCCCCAATCTACGTTCAATTCACACAAATCATGCGGGATGAGATTTTTACACCACCCGAAGCGAGACACGTGGTTTGGTTTGCTTGAAAGCTCCCACAATGCTATTCATCACTCTCTTGTTTTTTTATCTGTGCCATCAGATATTGCTATAAAACATTAAAGAAATAAGCCTGGAGACCCTTCATGAGAGGGTCTCACCCACTTCCACCAACCTTTTCTGCCGGGGTCAGCCAGGGGGTTCTTCTGCTCCACTCAAAAAGGGATCTTCTGAAAAATTCAAAGGAAACCTCAAAGAGAAAAGCCCTTCTGCTCCTTAAAAGAGCCAGATCTTAACTTTAATTGCTGCCTGAGCTGTGTGCTGCACTCCCATCATTCATTGCCACTGATAATTCAGCTGTAACTGGTCATACATGATTGCACGAACCAAGACACCACACAAAGCAACAATTAGTGGATAAGTACACACATCTAACTTTGCAATCTCAGCAACACCTTTCAAACATTAACTAATCAGGGTTTCTTAAACTCCTTGCACCTGTCCCTCACCCACCTCCCTCCTTTGCATTTTTTCACTCCTTTCTTGCATGCAGGGAGTCTCCTTCCTCTCCCAGCTGTGACAAATCTGTGTTCTGCCCTAACCACACCTTCCTCGCTCCCTCATCTTCACTTTTCACCCCCAGGCACCCTCGTTCCAATTAAAAAAAAACCCACCTGGAAGATGCTTAAATGCCCTGATGAGCACTGAGATGTAGCAAAACAGATTATTTAGAGCTTTACTGTGTGAGGAAATATGATTGACAAAAATAAGGTAAAGCATGCTTGCCCCAAAGCGAGGACAGCAGAGAAGTGTGGAAAAGAAAGAACCAGCAGAAAAGAAGAAAAGAACCATTATCATTTATTTTTTGTTGCCAACAAGGTCTCAGGTGTGGGGAGTTCTCTTGTTTCAAGCTGCACCACGTGAGCCTGTAGGAGAGACCACAATCTCATGCTGACAGACATTTAAAATGCCTTCAAATTCCACAGCTCTGCTTTCATTCCTGAAAAACGTCCAGACATTCACAGAACTGAAGTGAGATGTGGATAAAATTCACTTTGCCTTCCAGAAAGAAGAAGAGAAAATCGTAAAATAAATACCAAATATTCAAACTTTTCTTTCTGTTCAGTATGACTTTTTTTTTTTTTTTTTTTTAAAGAGAGAAAAATTACAACAGAAATTTCAAGGAAAGAATGAATAAATTTTGGGGATGTGTTTTGAGCACACACTGCCAGCTCATGTCCAGCTTTTCATCCCTGAGGATCCCCAAGTCCTTTTGTTCTCATCTCTCAGCTCATTTCTCAGTCTGTGCTCACGTCTGGGATTGCCACGGCCCAGGTTATTTCTTATGCATTGATTTATCACCTTCTCTGATTTAGGAATGAATTTCAAAGCAACTATTGGAAAGTTTCTAAGAACCTGGAAAGTGAAGTCCTCGAATTTTCTCCTGCTCACACTTTGTGCTTTCGATGCTCAGCACCTGACTGGGGGGTCTGAGGGTAAGAAACATTCCCAAAGGTGACACCACGTGGGGTTGTTTCATTTTTAACTTTCTTTCACGAGATAATTTGATTTCCCAGGACAATCTGGGAATCTGACATAGGAAACCTCCTGTTTTCCCAGGGACCAGCTGACAAAATCCCCCTCTGCTCTCACCTGGGAGGCAAAAGGCTGGTCCTGCCTGGTCCTGCATCTGGGGAAACACCTTGTGAAGATGATGTTCTGCAGGCACACACACAGAACTAAGATTTGTAAAAGGGAAAAAAAAAAAGACATTTTTACTAATTCAAAGCTATCCATTCTTTCCAGGCAGCAAGGCAATGGGATTTGGGCCTCTGGAGTGTTTAAATCCCACATACTCTGCCTTTTCAGGGGGTTCCCTGGGTGACAGTGGGAGTCTCCAGCTCACAAGGAGCAGCTCTCTTATCCCCTGCAATTCCTGCAGGTACCACACACATCCCATCCAGCCCCCTGGAATTCCATGGACACAGCTCCAGTGGATAACCTGCTGCCTCCTGGCATCAGGGACCTTCCAGCTCTTCCACAGGGGTCTCCTGGCTGGAGAAAACCTCCAAGGACGTTCCCAGTGAAGGCAGGGACTCGTACCTTGGAGCAGCACCTTGTTTGCACAGTGTGATGCTGATGGAAACCCAGCCTATGGGGATTACTTTTGTTCTGTTCTGGTGACAGGAAACAAAAAAAAAAAAAGGGGTTGTGGTGAAGCTGGCTCCATAAATCACGTGCAGCAGAGTTAATGCAGGTGTGCTTGCTTGGCCCAGGCTTCCTGTGAAGGAGGCAAGGGACTCGAGTGGTGGCTCTGAGGCAGGGAAATTCGAGATTGGTGGGGCTGCCCTCAGCAGAAGACTGATTATTTGGAATTAGTGTTCATAAATCTAGCTCTCTTTCCCTGCACTCCCTCCCGCTTCTCCCACTCCTTCCACGTGGACTCCCTGCCCCTTCCAGTAAGCCAGCACAACCCAAACCTCTTTCCTTTTCCTTGTGCCACCTCTATCCGCTGCTGCAAGACCTTTGTGTCCCTCGCCAGGGCTGACACGCCAGCCAGAGCCAGCAATCTTCACTTGGCACCAATTTCCATGTGAAAGGAACACTCTGAAGGAAGCCTGTGGGCCGGAGCCAAGGTAAAAGCCCCTCACTCTCTCCAGCAAATGCTGCTCTTCCAGTGTGAAAGCGCGAGCCCGGTGCCCTCCAAACCGCTGTTCCCATGGATTTGTCCCAGGTTGGAGCCTGTCATCTTCACAGCAGGAGCAGGAAGAGGCTTTTGCGGGCGGGACGGGGATCGCCAACAGCACAATCGTTGTTTCTGCAAGAAGGAAACAAACTTTAGCCTGAGGGTTTGGCCAGAAATGCCTCCCCAATGCCAAAAGTTGCATTGCCCCGTGAAGGGTGCCCTGGCAGGGGGAAGGGATAATCCCATGCAGGGGCTGGAAGCTCAACCCAGGTGATTTAAACTAAGAAGCAAGGTACTCATTTTTAGCAGCTACCCACCGAAATGAGCTGCCAGGGGGTGAACTCGGGCCCTTTTTTGCTTTGTTTAAATTTTTTCAGATCAAGGCTGGATGCCTGCCCTGCATCAGAAGTTGTTGCACGTGGAAGAAAAGCAGACCCGAGGCAAATACCCTTGCACGGGGTGAGCTCTGCAAAAGAGTGAGGGCTCTGTAGGGCCGGGCTGTCAGCAGGAACGTTAGAAATGACCCCAGTGCTGCTGCTGCCACTCTTTCAGCTCGAGCCATCAGTGGGATTCGGACTCTTGCCAGCGACGCCCCTCGGGAGGGGAAGTGGGCGCTGGAGCTGGGAATGTCTTCACACTGCCCGTCCCCGAGCACGGGGCGAACTGCACAAGAACAGGCAGCAGCTCCGCTGGCGAGCCAGAGCCCTTCCCAGTCACCTCGGCGACAAAAACCCTCCCTTAGCTTTGATTACGAGCATCACCAGCAGCTCTTCTGCCGCCGCCCCTTCAGTGCGCCTGGTATCTGTTGCTCGAACAACCACGCTCAAACTCTCATCCCTAAGTTTGCCTCCAGACTCGGGGGCAAAACCGTCTGGGTTTGGTTTTGTTTTTTTGGGGGGAGGCACAGCCGGTCCCGAATTTAAACCCGGCTTTAATCCCGGTTTTAAACCCGCTCTAAGGGGTCCCCGAGCCCGTTTCCAAGCGCGCAGTCGCCCTCTCGCGGCCGCGGGTGGGAATTGCAGCGCCTCCGCCCCCACACCCCGCACGCCGCCACCGCGGGGCAACAGCGCCGTGCCGCGGACACGGCCGGAACTGCAGCGGGCGCCGCTGAGCCGGGTTTTGAGCGTTCCCATCGACGTTTTTGTCGCAAATCGCAGCCAGAATGTTTCTTCCCTAGAGGAGAAATGTGGTTATCACCAGCTTGCTGTGGGCGGTGACCTGGCCTGCCCCTCGAAGCGGACGCCTGATGCGTGGCGTGACATCGCTCAGTGAGCTGTGGGTGTCAGTGCGCTGGCCCTGAACGAGGTTATCAGTTACCTTTAATATGTGCAGTCGCTCGGTGCAGGACTTTCGTGCTGTCTCCTCGCCCTTGCGCTAAGGGACTCCTGCTCGTAGGGTTGTTACTTACTGAGAGGTCGGCAAAGTGGGTGCGTCCCACACAGAAACGCTGCTGGCACATCACACTCGCTGGGCTTTCCATGTTCATTGCATTTTCCAGACAGGAAGGCAGCCGCATGTAAATACACCGCATGTAAATACACCACTCGGGTACAGCGCACTACATGTAGAAAGGCACATTTCCCCGCTGTGACCCCCAGAATCCCCGTGCCTATTGATGCTCGGCAGGAAATCTACTCCCCCCATTCCTCCCCCAGCTCCTCCTCACCCTTCCAGTTCCTCTGCACCCCCTTCCCTTCTCCCCACCAGCCGCGGTGATCACCAGAGGACTCCTCATCTCCGCGACGGTCTCTTGAAATGCCTTTTGTCTCCAACAGCTCATCGCCCTGCCCCTCACCTGCTGAGATCAGCCGCTTTCCTTTTTTGGGGGAGAAAACAAAAAAGAATAATAAAAAACGAACTCTGAGAATAATAAAGAGTTCAGAAAACTTTCAAGATCTCAAAATAAAAAATAAATAAAGGGGAGGAGGAAAGGGAGGATTGCGCGCTTCTTTTTGATTAATTCCCTCCCTTCCCGCCCCTCCCCAAAGAGCGTGGGGTAAATAAAATGAAGTACAGCCCTGACAGACACAGACCTGGACTGTCTGTTTAGAGATGGTGAGAGTGCCAGTATTCCAGAGGGACTGTGCAAAATCTGTCAGTGAACAGGAGCACATGTTAGAGAGTGTGAGGGTACATGCTTCACACTGAAAACAAACCCTTCAGAATGTGCAGAATACCCCGAATCTACATCTGCCACACCAAGTTTATTTCTGGGACCTCCTTAAAATTCATCCCCGAGTTTTATTTTCCACATCTTGAAAGCGTTAGATCTGCAAAGCAGCGTTGTAAGTGCAGCTGCTGAGAAGTTCAGCTCTGAGTAAGGATGGAGCTGAATGTTGGCTGGAATTCTGATTTTTTTTTTACCTCTGAATATTCTTCCGTCTTTTGGAAGCTGCCCAGTTTGAGGAAAAAGCATCATTTCTGCCTGCAACCACAGTGCTCAGACAGCACATCTCAGGGTGATGTGGAGATGTTCTTTTCATGCCTGGCTCACCCCAGCTCCTGATCCTGGCTCGCCCACCTTCTCCTGATCCTCTCAGTCCCTCAGCACCAACTCCCCATGCAGCTGCTTTTGCTCCCCTATTGCCACCACTTTATCCCAAAGAGCCACATCCAATGCCACGGATGCCACAGCCCTTGGAAATAATTTCAAGGGGCAGAAAGCAGCCAAAACATGGTCAGGCAAACGACTTTTTGTTTTGTTGCTGTTACCACTCACTGACAAAGGGAGCAGAGCTGAGGACGGTCTGTGCAGTACAGCAAATTACAGGGTGAATTTTGGGCCAGGTCTTTGATCACACCTCAGCTGTGCTCCCAGGTACAAATACAGCACAAGACAAACGTGCCCAGTTGTGAGGCATTGTTTGGTATCAACTAATAACCCTATTGATTGATTTTTAGGTTTTTTTTTACATGATGGGCTATAGCTCCATTATCCACAGCCACCTGCATCAGATGGCAGTTGGATTTTCCAAGTGCCATTCCTCAGATGTGAAGTTTTTATAAAGGTTTTCCTCAAAAAAAAAAAAAAACAAACAAAACAAAACACCCACAGACTTTGTGTCATCCTGACAGAACAGTGTCACAAGTCTGTACCTGCAGTTCAACAACAAATTACAACTTATTTCTTCCATCTGCACACCCATGAACACAGGCTGGAGCACAGCAAAAGGCAAACCAGTGGTAAGAGCTACACAACAGGCCAGTTTGCTCCCTCTGATCCCATTTTTACTTAGAGGTGGAGGAGAAGAACACTGAGTATTTCTTCTCTGCTCCTACGCATCAACAGAGCTGGTTGGACTCTGCCAGTAGAAAGAGAATAAAACATTTTAGCTCAGCACTCCTAAACAACAGCTCTTCCTACAGGACTTAGTCTGAGAAATCCTCTGCAGGTTATTCACAATCCTGGCACGAAACAAAATCTCAAAAAAGGCAAAAAAATTATAAAAAATTTAAAAAAGAGAAGGAAAAAAATCCTCTCTATCACCCCCTCCCACACGTTCTGGATTCCAAACCTTGGCTCAGGTATTGAGTAAAAAGCACAAAAAAGCCACGTGGGAGGAAGTGCTGGAAAATATTTTTTTCCCTGGCTACTCAAAATCAAGGTCCCCAATTAAAGAAGAGGAAAAAAAATAGGGAAAAAAAAAGGGTGAGGGGAAAGGGGGGAAGGCAAAAAAAGAAAAAAAAAAAGGAAGAAGATGGGGGGAATGGAAAAAAGAAAAGGAAAGGAAATAAAAGGGAAAAAGGAAAAAGAAAAAAGAAAAAAAAGGAAAAATAAAGAAAAGGGAAAAAGAAAAAAGAAAAAAGGAAAAAGCAAAAGAAGGAAAAAAAGAAAAAAAAGAGGGAAAAAACAGGAAAAAAAAAGGAGAAAAAAAGAGGGGGAAAAAGGCCACAAGATTTTGAAATTAAAACATACCTAATCCCACACATTCAGGAGCACACAGGTCATCTTATCACTTTCACCTGCAGAGGTCAAACTACACAAAGCACAAAAAAAGCAGTTCCAGAGAGAAATCCAATCTGGCAGCCCTTCCCTTTAGACCTGGGATCTGAAGCTGCACTCGCCTGGCCCGATTTTATTTGTGTTCCAAACCTGTAATACCACAAAAAGCCTCTCTCTGCAGACAGTGGTACACACACCACTCACTTTTGCAGCTGGCAAGTCCACCCAACCTAGCTGGGATTTGCCAGGTTAAAAATTGGCTTTGAGGATTTGAAGTGTGGCAGGTGACTCAAGCAAACCACAACCTCCCACTACCCTCAGCTGATGATTTTTGCTAGTTTTTAATGGATCCAGGACAAATCTACGAGTCATTTTCTTACTGTAGTGAACTACAGTCCTTAGTGCACATAGTCCACGTGGACAGTACTTGCCAAGCGAGTATCTGATCAAATATTTGGAATTTTTCAAACGTTCCACTCTAAATTTTTTCCTTCATCTCTGTCATGAAGCTCTTTCTTATGCATCTTTATTATATTATATTATATAGAATTGTACCCAGTCCATAATCTGATTTATCATGGTCTAGTCTTCAGTACTATTAAGATAAATGAAAACAGTTCTAATAATCACTTCTACTTAAATGTAAATTTGGGACAATGCCTTTGGGATGTTGCAGGATTGCTTTTGTCACCTCTGTAAAGTAATGTTAATATTAACATTAATTCATCATTAGGGTAAGTTCCCACAAGCTAGATTTAGAGGTTTTTTCAGGAGAAACACATCACAACCATTCAAGAGTTGGAAATGGATGTGAGCTGAACCTGCAGAGGTTTTACATCCACAAAAATAACGTTGTGCTTGAATGTGTCACTTCTATAAAAATAAAACTGCTACATCCGTGATCATCATTAACTTGGGAATTAATGAGCTTGTTTGGCACTGGCAAAGTGGCATAAATAAAGTGGCATAAATATCAAGGACCCTGTACTCTTACCTTTTATAACATTTTCAGGCACTGCAAAAGGTTAAAGGATGGATGGAAACGTTGCTCCAGTTGTGCTGTGCTGGGAAATGTTAATGATGTTGCACATGGGGGGAGAAAGTGCAGAGCCATCTTCCCTCTCGAGGGAACAGAAAATTAGCCCAGAAAAGAAGAAACTTCCTTTAAACAACCCACTGGGAATGGGAGAAGGGGAACAACCTTCCAGGACAGCCCTTCCCTTTTGCAGGCTGGGAATGTCAGGGATTACACGGAGTGTGCCACCAGCTCGTGGGAGCAGAAGGAATCTGTAAGTCATGCAAAGAGCTCAGAATTTCAAGGGGAAAGGGTGAGAACTGGAAGATAATAGAAGTAAAAATAATTCTCTTTTAAGCCCATTTCCTAATTTGTAATGCTCTAGTTACTGCAAGCAGATAGGAAAAGGAGGAGGGCTGTAATTCTCTCCAGCCTTCCCCAGGATCCATGAGGCCAAGGCAAGATACAACACGTGCTTTCTGGTGCAGAGTCCAGATTTAGGGCACTTTGTGTGCAAGAGAATTAGAGAACTGGACACTCCTAACTGTCCCAAAAACACTGATGGTAACTGCACCACCTCCGTGCAGTCGCAACATGGCACAGTTACGAATTAAACTTACAAATTTATGGAACGTTTCCGACTCCCAGGACGTGAGAAATCACAGTTTAACGTCAGCACAAAAAAGCTGCAGGACAGTTTTGCTTAGCAACTTTCTAAAGTCACACATCCAAAAAAAACAAACCACCAGGATAACCAGACCCCCTTACCTCTGTTCTGCTGCATCAGCCTGCAAGTAATTGAAGACAAAAGTGGGTTTTTGCTGTAATAAACCTTCGTGATGAAACACCAGAGGAAAATCCTAAAAGTTCAACTCAATGGATCACGTTAATCTGCAGAATGGGATTTCCTTGCCACTAATCCCGTTACAGCCAGGGCACACTGTGCAAATGTATCTAAACACATAATTACCAAAGAGATATTAAAAGGTCTCTTGATTGATATTAAAATATCAATTTATTTCAATTTAAAAAAAAAAACGCAAAGTCAGAGAAGAATTCATTAATTCTCAAAACCCAGCAACGCAATAAATAATACTTAATGAACTGAGAAAAAGGGATAGATGAACAAGTAGTGACATGATGGCTGGTGCTTGTTGGTGTTAAAGAGGAACTGACAATTACTCCACTTGACATGTAACTCTCACAGGGGAAAGGCTAGAAAGTGAAAGACTTGTTAAAAATATGTATGTACATATATATATACACACATTTTTAAAAGGCATTAAGATGAGAACCAATTGAATTCAGTCCTAAGGAGGTCGTATCACCATTTTCATCACCCTTAAGCTGTGTTTACATCAGCAAACAGGGCTGTGCAACAGGAGCATGAAACAGCTGTTGCCCAAATGCTGCCAGCACACAAACTGTACATTATTTTTTTGGGGGGGGTGGAGGGGATAGGTTGCTGCCAGCTGGCTGCATGGTGGTCCTGCAGACTGACTGCCTCACCCCTTTGCTCCAAGGATTTTCGCTTTGCTAATTCCAAACCCACGGTTTGGCACTTTGGGATTACTTGGAGTTAGCCAGGCTGCTTCAGTGGACCCTTGCAATAATTTTCCATTGAAAATGTTCTCATCCACATCTCTAAAGAGCCTCTGTTAGGGCAATTACTACTGGCAACAAACCCAATAAATGCTGGTTACTGTTCTATCTGTAAATTTATCAAAGCAAGTTTCTTAGTTTTCATCCTACTCCATACAAAATAGGATGGGCTGGGCACGTCCAGCATCTCTGTTCAAATATAATTTTTAATATATTTGGTTGTTTCCTTTGCATTTGTATAATTAGAACTGGGGAAGAACCTGGGGTGGGGGAAAAAAAGGTACACTTGGAACACAGCATGATGCAGACACCTCTGGATGAAGGTTCATCTCTAAAAGGTGATTAAAATTTGCAATTATGAGCAACACTGAGAAAAAGCAACTATGGTGCCTTAAGGATCCCAGTCAGCAGAGCTAGGACAAAAAAACAGCAAAGGAGATGCCAAAAGAAATGCATCTGTTCACAAGTCACCTGAAATTTTGTTGCCAGGAAGCTACTTCATCACAGCCCTAGAACAACGGGTATCCTGAACGTCTCAGCTTGCCTTCCCCTCGAGGGGCTGATATCTTTAAAGCATCCTTGCAGATGCTTATCAAGGGCTGAGGAACTGCCTTCAGCTCCAGGCAAGCGATGAACCTGCCACCAGATGTCACCCACAGGCTATGAGGAGAGAGGAGGAGAGAGAAGAGGAGGAGAGAGAAGAGGAGGAGAGAGAAGAGGAGGAGAGAGAAGAGGAGGAGAGAGAAGAGGAGGAGAGAGAAGAGGAGGAGAGAGAGAGAGAGAGAAGAGGAGGAGAGAGAAGAGGAGGAGAGAGAAGAGGAGGAGAGAGAAGAGGAGGAGAGAGAAGAGGAGGAGAGAGAAGAGGAGGAGAGAGAAGAGGAGGAGAGAGAAGAGGAGGAGAGAGAAGAGGAGGAGAGAGAAGAGGAGGAGAGAAAAGGAGATAGAGAAAACTTTCAAACTGCCGTAAGTCTTCAAAACCAAGATTCTTTGAATACTGAAGGACATTGCACGGGCTAAAAGCCAAATTCTATGGTTGTTGATGTCTTTACTGAAGGCCTCTATTCCTCTTTTAACAGAACTTGACCACTGCAAATTTCAACACATAAAAGGAAAACTCTTCTCCTGAATTTTAAATTTTGGTTGATTTTTAATTATTACACATCAGTAGCTGAAGAAGCTGCAGCTCAGCTGTTTATTGGCAAAGAACATTCCAACACAGTGTTTGAACTTTAGCTTAGAAAGTATTTTAGAAAATTCTAAGGAGAAACCAAGATCCAGACTGCTCATAAAAATCAGTTCTGTGCATACCTGACTCTTCTTGTTTCCCCCACCCACCCACACTTTACCATTTGTCCTCTTTGACAAACGTGGGAACAGTTCTTTTGGTTTTGTATCTTCTGGGGAATGTTTCCATTTTCACAACTTGAACTGGTGAAGCTAAAAAATTAAAGCAGAACTCACAAACAACCCAAATAAGGTGCAGAAAGAGGCGTTTCCACTTTGTTTCACCTCTAATCCCTTAGAAATAAATAAAGTAAAAAACAAAATCAAGTTCTATAATTGCAATAATTTCAATTATTTAGTAGTATTTGGATATTTTTCTTAGTAGGACCTATTGTTGTAACCAGTGTTAACAAACTGACTTGCAGTCAATGGAATAAAGCAGCTCAGAGTACCCAAAATACTTATTTCTGAGGAAACGTACAAAAATCACAACTATTATATAAAGAACTCTGTTATAATTACATACAAAACAACTGTCAGAGCATTTGGTTCATACAGTGCTGCTGCCAAGTTATGGAATGAACTATTTGATCCAAGAGAGCCAGGGCTAGAAATGGGTGCCTGGGCAACCATCCCGACCCTGTCTGTTTGGGGACACAGAACAACACTTTGTCTGTGTTCGTGGTGAAGTTGGAACCACAGGGTAAAAGGAAAGGAAGTTATTCATCCAAAGGCAAACCAAAAAAGGCTTCAACAGTGTTAAATTCCCTGCAATGTCCCATTAAACCACATTCAGAGCGTTAATGGCAAGCTGACTCCGTCCCTCTACCCACAGAATTTTGTCTGCCCTCTCCAAAAGCTTCTTGCGACTTCAGATGTCCATTCCTCGACACCTGCCCATCCCAAAGTCCCAAAGTCAAGTGCAAGGACTTCCTACTCCATCTCAGGTGAGGGTTTAAACTGGTGTCCTGACGAGAGGGGAATGTGCAGTTCGTGAACTCCAGGTCATCCATCCCATACTCCTGCCAGCCCACAGTGAAACGCTAACCACGTTTTGCAGCAGGAATAACCAAGTTAAACTCCACTCTCCAGTGCAAAACCTGAAATATGTGACAGCTCTTGGAAAGGTGCCCACAAGCCTCCCCTGTGTTAAAACCTTAGACTTTGTATCTCAGAAAACCTTACTCAGAGAAGGGTGCAATCACCCACCCCTCACCCGGAGTGAGAAAACTTCTGAGAACCTCAGAAGTTCTGAGGTTCGAACACGGTCAGTTCCTTCCCATCGTAGAACTCCCTCAGCTGGTTTGGCTCGTATTTTATGGAGGGTCTCTCCATCTGCATCCCCGGCTCCAGAGCGTCCCGCCCCACTATTTTGAGATCCACCACTTTGATTTTCCAGGTGTTGTTCCTGAGGGGGCAGCTGATGAGCCCAAAGATCTGCTCAAAGATGCCCAGGCAGGCGTTGTCCCTGTGCACCGTGCCGGCCACCGCCACCAGCACCAGGCCGTGAGGGGACATGGCGAATTTCAGGCCGTTGCCGTGCAGGTTGGGGTTGAAGAGCAGGCACTCCTCCCTCACCAAGGAGAGCAGCCGCAGGCTCACCATGTCCGCCCCGACGTACTGCTCCACGTTCTTCTCCAGGGTGTTGTAGCAGAACTTCATCCTGGCGTCCTCCCAGAAGTGCTGCGGCCCCCAGGTTTCCTCAGATTTTACTCCCAAGGGGTGCTGGGAGTTCAGGAGTTCGAAGTACCACCGGCAGAACTGGCCTCCCAGGCCACCGATGTCGTCCTGCGGTGACTTCCCTCCCTCCCCGTGACCCTGCAATCAAGCGAGATTTTTTTTTCTTAGAACTATTCAGCCTTCAAATGCAAAATTACCACTCAGAGCATAAAATCATGCACATACTTATTTTAAACATTCTAAGTGTTCTTCGAGTGTTCTGTGACAGAGAGAAACCACCAAATAAAATCTCATTTATTTGTAAGGACATGATCATCTTATGTAGAGAATCTGGACAGGTTCTTTGAATTAGAAGAGTGCTTCAGTTTTATCTCCTTAAAAACAAAGAGCAAAATCCTGGTTCTACTGAAAAAGGGAAGGGTTTTCAACAACATCCATGAGACTAAGATTCTCATACTGAGACAAAATTTCTGCTGAATTAAGTGTCTGGGTTAGTATCTTCTTGTTGTCCTTTACACTTCCAAAAGAATGTTTCCAGACCCAACCTGAAAAGCCAATCTCATATTAAGGCACATCAATTTACTGAAAAGTGCTTATAAATAAGCAGGTTTTTCATGTTGCCTTCAGCCTCTTCCTTTCAGTAGCTTTTAATTTGGTGAATTGTGTTGGTTTCTGCATCTGCTGCCAAGAAGCTGATAAGAACAAACAGTATTTCTTGAGAAGTTACCTTCTGAATATTTAAATCCTAATGCTGACAGAATAATGCCAATTTATGGGGGTATTTTACCTGTGTCAGTGGGATGTGATGACAAAATGCACAACTAATCCAGGAAGAACTGAAACTCAAAGCATTAATGTGTTCTAGAACATCTTCTCCACCACATGATGTACCCAAACTTCAGCCCTTTTTGGCAGTAAGACTGCCAAAAATCATCTGAAAGGTGTTTGGTAACTTTAACAAGTGATGCTTGTAGTCTTCAACAAGTTTGTTAACTCCAGAGCCTAATGAGTATTAAATCAACTGTGTTTTAAGTAATTAAGCACAAAAAGTGTGGAGACTTCTATACAGAAATGCCGTATTTGTTTCACCATCAACTGTGATTAACTTCTAATTGTTTAACATCCAAGACAAATAAAATACTGAAAGTTCATCACACCACACCAGGATTTGCTAAATGTCAAAGTTTTGAACTTCAAAATAACCCGGAATTGCCAAAACACATTTAGTTATTACTCTGTGCTAAGTGTTACCAGGAAAACAAAGGAAAACAAAGCAGGTGGACCTGGCACTGCTACAAACTTTACAGTTTAATGATAGATAACTTTGCTAAAATCCAGTCTGAGCTCTAACTGCAAACATTAGAGTTCAAATGCACTAAAATACTGTGTGAAAGGGAGCAGAAGACTGCGCCCTGCAAGTGCTACACTGGCACAGACACCTTTACCTGATGTAATTAAAGAAAACCCACAAAACCAAAACAACCAAACAAAAGGAGAAAAAACCCCACCCCAAACCAAAACAAACAAACCCCCACAAACAAACAAAACAAAAAAGAAAACAAAACCAAAGAGCAGGACTTTCCCAGGGAGCAGGACTCACCTCCGCGTGGGGTTTTGTCTGCCCCGACTCCGGGGCTCGAGCCGAGAGCTGCCCACTCCAGAACTGCCTCACGCGGTCAATGAGCAGGTGTTTCTCCAAGGAAGGAGGGGCTGGAATCCCCTGCGCTGCCAAATACTTGAAGATTATTTCTCGGTAGACTTTCCTGCGTCTCAGAAGCTCTTCCACGTTCTGGCTGTAAACCAGGATGGCGTGAATGGCTTCTGCAAGTGAAGGAAGTGAAGTTAGCAGGTGCTTCTCTCACAATCAAAACCTTTCAAAGTAATTGCAGCAGAGAGTTCTCACCTGCACTCAGGCTGGGACTTAACATGGGACCTACAAAACCCCCAAATTTAAACAAGAATAATCTAATAGCTAAAGTTAAAAAAAATATATATATTTGGAAAAAGACAAGGAACGAGCCTACAGGCAAAAGACCTTTTAAAGAAATAGGTTTGGCAAATCTTACATGTCTCAGTTGTATCACATGGAACAAACTCGATGGATTGGGATGAGTATATTTCAGAGCAACACACTGAGAGGGTTAGCCTTAAAAAACTTAACCTAATAAAGATAATAATATAATAAAATAATGAAATAACCCTTATAAAAAATTAGCTTTTATGGCACAAATCTCAGCAGAGCCACGGAGGGTGGCCACAACCGCGAGTGGGAAGAGCTAAGCTGGGTGTTGGACTTTTGTTTTACCCTTCCAAAACCTGAAAGCAAACGTCATTAACACCAACAGCGAGAGACTCCTGAGCTCCAAACAGCGTTCCGAAGGGGCACGGCGGGAGCTGCCCGGAGGCGGGGGGGGCTCTAAGAGAGGAGAAAGAAGCGCTGGAGAGCTTAAAAAAATCTACTAGTTTAGGGGTTTAGAGATGTAACAAGAACTGACAGTATTTACAACAAAAAAACTGCAGGGCCAAGTGATTTAAAGAAGCACCGAGGAGGGGAACTGAGGCAACACCCAGGGAGTTTTTAACTTGTCTTGGAGGAGTTTACAAACAAAAGTCACTTGAAATTTTGGGGGGGGACGGGGACGTCAGACAGAGAAGACACAGAAGACCACCAAGACCCTCAAGAGACCTTTGATAAGGACACGCATACGTGCTAATAATAAGTGCTGGGAATTGTCAGGAATACGTAAGAGGGATGCGGGGAAGGCGAAATGAACCACCGTGCGACGCTGGCACAGAACCTGCCGTGGAAACACCCCGGAGAGCTGAACCACTCGCGGTGCACCCACCCGGCTGTGCCATAAAGGCGTTCATTTCCAAAACTCGCGAACGGAGCGTTTAAAAAAGTTTAAAAGCTTCCCTTTAAGCGCCCGGAGCCCCCCCCCCCGAGCACCCCCGAAACGGAGCCCGGGGCAGGGCCCGGCCCGCGCTGTGCCCGCAGCCATCCCCCCCCTTCCCCGCGCACCTTGCCGGCTCTCCGGGTGCACCATGCGGCTGGTGACGGTGTCGGTGAGCGCCACCAGCTCCTCGGTGCTCAGCAGCTCCAGCAGGGCCCGGCATCCCGCCCGCTCCCGCTCGCTCAGCCCCGGTCCCGGGCCCGCCATGGCAGCGCCGCCCCGGTGCGCGCACGGGCGCCGGCTGGAAACGGCGGCGGGCACCGAGGGTTCCGCGCCGGGGCCGCCGGGCCCCTCACAAGGCACCTCAGGAGGGCTGGGGTGGCCCCGGAAAGCTGCGGGGAAGGGAAATTAAATGTAATAAATGTATGTTATATCTTGTGTGAGGAGTTTGTAATCAAACAGGTCTGTAATGACCGCCCTCCCCGCCCGCCGGCCGGGCGAGGGACGGGATGGTCCCGCTCTGCTCTGAGCGGGTGCGGCCTCACCCCGATATACATTCATAACCTTTGTACCTGTTTATATATACTTACAAATTTATATTGACGTGTTTTATACCCGTCACAATTGTTATCTTTCCCTCCATAATTCTAAAAAAAATAGTTCCCAATGGTCTTCTCAGCTTCCCAACGCATACACAGCCCAGTCTGTACAAAGTTACCCACGTACTCAACAACCTTAAAGTTGGCCCTTTGTCTTAAACTTACCTAGGTATTTCAAGCGCCCCTTTGGTCTTTTGAGGTCTATCTAATTTTTTAGGTGCTTCCTCGATCCGGGCACCTCAACCTCCCCTTGGGCTCGAGACTCAATGTTTAGTCCTGAGAATCCAGCTGTGCAACACTAAACTCCAAGAACATCAAGAATTTACACGACTGTAACAATTCTAAATAAACCAGCGTTTTCAGATTTAAGTATTGAACTTTTAGAAGCAAAATAATAATAATAACAATAAAAAAAGGAATTACACTGTCTTTATCTCTGCACTACACCGTTCAATCAAGGGGACCAAACAAAGCAGTGAAAAACAAGTGTTTCACACCAGAGGTTACTATCTCTGTTGGCAGCATTATCAGAGACAAACAAAAGTTCACTAAGTGCAAAAACCGAGGCTCAGCTCCATGTACTAGTGCCCTCCCAAGAGGTTTAGGGCAGCATTTTGTAATATAAGGTCACTGAAGAACTCGAACAATGTTATGATGAAAACAACCAACCAGAAGCAGAGGGATCTTAAAACATCTGCATCCAGACTTGGCGGGGTTTTGAGCCCTAGGAAATCACTTTAGCACCTAAATGCCCTCTCCACCCCCCTGTTTTGATGCTTAGTAAATTCAAATCCAAATATCCACATATATATCCAATATATTTGGATATATTCATATCCAAATAACCCCTGGAACATCAAAACCTGGCATCTTCACAGGCAACTATCACGTACCAAACCCAACACAGCAGCTGTGAAAGTTGCAGCAGCAGTTTCAGAGGAATTCTCCAAAAGACAAGATCCATTTCTATCAACAACAAAGACAATGTTTTATTGAACAAATCTATGTACAGTACAAAAAGGTTTTTAAAATGAAACACTACTGTAGATTTATTGCAGTTTGATGGCTCAGTTTTAATTTGTACTCTTATATAAAATGCAAAGTAAAATAATTTAACATTCAACAAGGAAGCACAAATTTCCTTTCTTGCTGAACCTGTAACAGCTTTTACAAATTAAGAGTCCCAAAATGCATACACTGCATTTAATCAGAAAGGTGTTATACAGTACCAAATAAATTAAGAAAATAGTAACACTACCACCCCCTTTGGGTCTTTTGTCCATAGCACTGGTGTTAAACAATAAAAGAAATGAGTACAGCTGAACCTTCAATGTGATATTAAAATCACAAAGTTTAATGTTATAAATTATCCAAACTATACAATTTATATAATTTTAATGAATATGGCTAAATAACCAAAGTACCAGTGACCTTTCCCCACAGATATCACCACTTCCAACCTACTTTCAGTATTCCTCTATTTTGTGAAAGGTGCCCACCAAGTGGCAACTCTTTGAAATTAGAACTTCCACGACCTTTCCAGTCAAACATGATCTGCTTAGAGAAGAGCCTTAAAAGCAAAGTCCAAATCCAAGTTACAGCCAGCTGGAGGAATGTTATTGGAACACAGTTATCCACAACAAACGCACAAACTTTGATCCAACAAAGCTCCCAAGCTCATGTGTAACTTCAGGCAGCTTTGAGGGAGTTGCAAGGCTTACATTACACGTGGACTTTAGCATTCATTGAATCAAATATTGAATCAATTTATTGAAGGATTTCCAATTGTATCATACAATGCTTCTTAATGACTGGGGGGAAAAAAAACAAAAACAAAACCAACCAAACAAAACCAATTTTCAGATCTGGATTTGTAACCTTTTTCAGCCCTACAAGTTGCAGGCTTAGTACAAGGTAATACTCAACATACTGAAGAATCCTTTAAAAGCATGGAGAATTATCCCACACACATTACACAAGTCACCTTTTCGCTTCTGATTCAAGCTGCTTAATACTGCAACTGTCTGAGAATACCAACGGGTATCAGAGAGGAGCTTAAAGAAAATGCAATGTCTTTTGAAGTAAAAATCATGACTTAAAAAACGTTACCACCCACTTGCTACTTTAGGTCAATTTAACAGATTTCTGGTAACTGTTAGGGTTTTTTTTGCTAATTTTCACCTCCAGAAGAATTCATGTTTCCTGTTCTCCAGAGTGTATCTACTGAGCACATGATATCAACAAATGGTGGTGTCCAAGAAAAGCATCTTCGAACAAAAAATGAGTTTAATGCAGGTACAGAAAATTATGGTCACAGTTTATGCATGTACACAGATGCATTTATCTACACACTTAAAACCAAAGAAAATACAAGTCTCAATCATGATTTCAAAGCATCTTCAAACACATGGAGCTCCAGGGAAAAGGCAAAAAAGCACCAAAGATTAAAGGTACATCGAAAAGATTTTACACAAACATTTTTGCCATATCTACTGACTCGGTTTTCAGATTTTTAGAACTGTAATACTTTAAAATTAAAACTTTTTCCCCCAAAATATATTTAAGGAAATTTAACTAGATTAACAAAGTTAAGCAAAGAAAGGGGAGCCTGGGAACATTCAACGTGAAAACTGGGTCCTTAAAAATTAGTTGGTAACTTGAAAGCAAAAAAGGTCAAAGTGCATTTGTCTGATAAGGACCCCTTTAAATTTAAAACAAACTTTTAATGTATTTATATATGTAAATATATATATATATTGTGTGTATAATACTTATATATAATGAACGATGCATTTAAATCAGGCTTTTTGCAGCTGCAAAAAAAAAAAACAATTCTTTGGTGCCTCGAACGTCATACAAATCTCTGAAAGTGGGCCATGATCGGTACTGATGGAATGCACACACACCTGTGATCATAATTTTATAACCTTTGCTGTCAATCCAACTCAAAGTTAAGGCAAAAATTTCCTTCAAGAGTTCAAGAGTTAAGATTTCGAATTTGCATTCTTTTTCACCCTCGCGGGAGGGGAAAAGAAAGCAGAATGAATGCAAATCCCTGTTTGCTTTCACAGAGGATTATTAGCAGAGGCATTGCTGAATTTAGTTCCAGAACTACTTCACAGCCTATCCTAAAACGACACCCTCGGGTTTGCAAATGTGAGCCATTGCTACAATGAACAGGTTTCACGCACTTCTGCATTTTTTATGCATTAATTTTTTCCATATCTGTTGATTTAAGCCCTTACACACGCTGTGATGAACTATTCCATAAACAAACCAGCTGAGCAGGAGCAGTTGGGCTTTGCCACCCCACATTTCTGTGAGGACTCCATCCCTGAACCACCATCTCTACCCTGCCTACAATCACATTAAAATGTTACCCGTGTACCACAGGATCCCAAATAAACACTCTGTCAGGTGGCAGGAGATAAATGGGAGGAGATATCAGCATGGTAATTGGGCAATGTGCATGTTTGCCACACCTCTGCCTGGGGTGGGAAGACCAAAAACTACAAGGGCACCCTTTTGGTTCCCAAATGTTCTGCATTTCAGTGTTACACATAGAGCTGAAGGACTCACACTTCCTGTCTTCACATTCTGATTGTTTCTGTGAACAGTGAATTTCGAATAAAGTGCTTAACATTTCAGTAACTCCTTCACCAACTCCTGGGAAAGGCTCTTTTCAAGGGATGCTACTAAATAAAGTTACAATGTGTCTTAAAAAGAGACTGAGTCCATACCTATTTTCTCCCTTCCTCTAGACAGTAAATAAGTAGTTACAGTACTGAGTTGTGGCCCACCACCATTTATCACACATGTAAAACAGGCTCTTCCTGATCTTTTTTTTCCCCCCTCCAACCTGTGCCCTGCTTTTGTCTGCCTTCTCAAGTTCTTCTCAGTCACACCCACAGCTGAGGGACCTCTGTATTTGCATAATAACAAACTCTGCTCTGTAATGCAAGTTTAACCTCCTCGACATTCTGCATTTGTTTTCAATCAGTTCCTGTTAAAATCCACACGGGATCTGTGCACGTACTGCTTGGGTTGGCCTTCCCACACCTACAACAGAGGTTTCACAGGACACTCTTTACCTGCACCTTCACCCTGGCCTTGCAAAGGGCTTCTCTTGCACTGCATCTGATTTCCACTGCGTGTAAGTTTTATATCGCATCACCTCACTCTTCCTTGCTATGTGCTGCATTTCGAGTTTTTGGCTATTCCAGCATTCCATCTATCTCAAGATTTCTTTCCACATTCCTCTTTGGATTCTGAGTATAAGTTTATTAAATGAGCTCCATGCTTTTGAGCAGATAATATGACTCCCACACTTGAGCTTTGAAAGAAGAATGCACGGTTCCTCTATGCATTTCTTATCCACAGCATAATAATTAACACCTTCTGGAATGATTCCTTCCCAACTGTGTGGACAGACCCCCCTTTATTGACACAAACTAAAGCAGCTTTCAGAATTGGCTGTTTTTTCCACAAGGCAACTAACATCTCTGCTTGCCTTATTTTCCTTACACCTTCCTGCTAGAAAGGCTGGGCCATTCAGCTTCCATCACCTATTTGGAATGAACATGGCTTTTCAGAGAACTGGTACTTTGGGGATTTTGTAGCAACCTTTCTGGACTCGAGACCTGCAGAGCTCCTATTAACTCCTCTGTG